GGTTGGAGCGGTGCGTGAGGGCTTTCTCGTCGGTACTTGATGTGCTGGCAAAGCTGGCATCCTGCCACATAACGTCCTACGTCCTTTCTGATGCTTGGCCACCAATACGTCCGTGTGATGAGCTCTTCCGTCTTATAGCGTCCTGGGTGTCCTGCGGCGAGCGAGTCGTGGTGCGCCTTGATGATATCTGCGCGTAAGGCTTTGTCAGGTGGCACATAGATGTGGTCATCATGCGTGAGTAGGCCGTCCGCGTGCTCTTTCCAGCGCGAATTCTTGATGAGCAAGGCAAGCTCGACGGATTCCTCTCGCTCGGCGGTGGAGTCTTTGATGCAGCGGATCGTGGGCTCGTCTTCGCCGGCGCAATCGAGTGCTGTAGCGCAAAGTAGGACACGGAAAAACTCGGGTTTGAGCAGGACAACGTCCTGATTGTCGTTCTCCCCCCTTTCATGTCCTGCTTTGCGTGAAAGTGCGTCAGGACGACCCATGAGGCCACCGGGTTTGTAGCGGAGTGTAAAGTCGTACTCCTGCATCTCGGTAAACCAGCGAGCTTAGTGGCGATTGAGGCGGTGGGCTTCACGGAAGTATGTGAGATTCTGGTGATCTGACCAGATCTCAAACGTATGGTGGGCGCCCAAGAGGTACTGGCGCCATTCCTCTAGCGCGAGCATGATGGCGAGGAGTTCCTTATCATAGATCTCGTAGTTGCGTTCGGCCTCGTTGAGCGACTTGGAGAAGTAGGCTACAGGGTGCCATTTGCCATCTGTGGCCTTCTGCGAGAGTACTGCACCCGTTGCAAAGTCCGAGGCATCGGCCTCAACTCGGAACGGGGAATCGTCCACAGGAATGACAAGCACAGGTTCGGATGTGACGCGGAGCTTGAGTTCTTCAAAGGCGAGCTGTTGTTCTACGCCCCATTCCCAAGGGATGTCTCCGGTAAGACGATGGAGCGGGCGAGCGTCGTGGCTGAAGTCCTTGATGAAGCGGCGGTAGAAGTTGCAGAAGCCTAGAAATGACTGTAGCTCATTTTTGCGCGTTGGGACAGCCCACTTGGCGACGGCCTTGACCTTGGCAGGATCCATGCAAAC